GGGCCCACCCCCGCCGGCCGTGGGCAAGGCTGTGCGTGTGGGCTCCCAACCAGCTCCCAGCTTTGGTCGCTTGTCTCTGCAATCTCAGAACAAGTGTTCTGAAAACGAAACTGGAGGCCCTGGGAATCCCGCTCTGCCCCGCAGTGAGCTGGTTCGGCCTCTGCATTTCATTCAGCCCACAAAAGAAAGAGAAAATGTTGTTTGAGAGGTTTAGTTTCCTTTTTTTCTTTTTTTTTTTTTTTACAACTTTAAATACAGTACTGAGTATAAATTAATCTTACATTTAAAAAAAAAAGCCCCCAAAAATTAAAATAAAATAAAACCTCACCATCTTTACAAACCAAAGGAAACAGATTTTGGAACGGGAAAACAAAACGTCTTAAGACTTGAGGGCTTGGGGATGGAGGGAGGGAGCAACGTGCCACCTTGGCAGTGGTACGAGAAGTGCTCTGGGCTTGCAGGAGGCGAGGGCTGTGTCCCTCCACAACTTGTAACAGCTCTCAGCTTGCAGCTTCGCCTCCTTCCCCCGGCTCCCTCCGGGGCTTTGCCCTGCAACAGGGGTGCATGTGTGTGCAAGGGGAGAAGCGGCTGGAGGCAGAATAGGCACGAGGGGGGGGTCTACCGCGCTAGCTCTGGGCAGGCGTTTTCCTCATGCGTAACTCTGCAGCACCCAGCATGGCACGATCCAAGAAGGGGACTCCGAGGTGGCACTGGAAATTCCCATCATACGTAACATTTCTGCTAACGGTGACTGAGTATTGGGTGTGCAGAAATAGCCCTTGTCCACAGAGTCCTCCTCCCCCCTCCGGAGCAGGCAGTGGCCCGGGAGGGACTCTACGACTGACCCTCCAGTTGTTCTCCGAGTCCTCCTCACTCAGAAGAGCTCGTTTCTGTCTCAGACGGCTGCTGACAACTGCAAAGACCATCCTCATTTCTTCTCTATACCTACACAGAGCTGCCCACATCTTGGACCAACTTCCAAGCTAGGTGAGCTGGGAACATCTAACGGGCAAAAATCCAGGAGGAATTTGAGAGGGGAAAATGTGAGGAAAACGATGGGAGATGCGGGGACATTGGCAGGGAGAGAGCAGTGAAGATATGGTGTGCAGGACACCTGTGAAGGGGTTAAAAACCTCGGGGGGATGACATGATTCTTTCAGGACCACAGAGCAGGCAAGGACAGCTCACTGAGATTAAGTCATGCTTCTAAGTTTGGCTGTTGCTGGTCTTGTTGCGGTGCCACTTCGCCTCCTGCAAGGAAGTTGTGCTGGGGGGTTGGTGGAGAGTGAGAGAAAAGGGCAACAAGACAGAGAGAGATCAGGTGATGTCTCTGCCTCCCCCGTCCCGGACCTCGCAGGCACGTTGCAGTAACAGCGTGCTTTTCTGCCAGCCCAACGAAGCCGAGGCATGCACGTGGCTCTGAGCTTCCTGCCACCGGGGAATGAAATCCATTTAAGAACATATATATATATATATTTATATATGTATGTATAAATACACATACACACACACACGCACGCACACGTATATATATATATATACACACACATATACACGCGCACACATACAGAGCAAATTTTAAAAATAATCTGAGTCCGAGCCTGGAAAGTTGAATTCTCCACCAGCATGTGCAAAGATGGCTCCCCTTGGCAGGGGCCGGGGGCGTGGAGACGATTCTGCCGCTGTCTGCTCCTTCCCCAGGATCCAAACACCTTCCAGTCAGCACCAGGAGCAGGAGGGGAGAGGGAGGGGGGGAATGCATTTGGCTTCTTTGTTTTGTTTGTGGGTTTTTTTTTGTTCTGTTCCCCGAGATGTTGTATATCTTAGTGGTTTTGGTTTTTCTTTTTTAAAATAAAATATACACACGCACATTAAAAATATATATCTGTCCAGTTAGGGCGATAAAAGTCCTTAGTGCATTTTCCACCGTCGGTCGCTGCTCGCAATCTGAGATATGCCTGTTTTCAAAACGTAGGTCCAGTGCAAGTGTTGATCTCAGCCAGGCCCCCCAGCCTCACCAGAAACATGAGGGGAAGGGAGAATATTCCCCTTCCGCCCTCTGTCCATTTGTTTTTCTCCTCCTCTCGGAAGAAATTGGACCCACTTTCCTTTTCACATTTTCCATCCTATCCTCTGGAGCAGGGAAGGCATTGTCCTGTCCTCATCGCATGTTGTGGCTGTCAGGGTTCATGGTTTTATTTGTACTTTGTTCTTTTCTCATATATATATATATAGGTCATGTTTGTCCTTTTTTTGTGTGTGTAAAACTTTAAAATTATGCTAATAAATGAAAGAAGGGAGAGGCTTTGGTGGGAGAAGGTCCACTGATGGAAAGGGAAGCACCAATTGCCGTCTGAATCAGACGTCGAGGCAGATGGACAAAGAGGAAAAGTTATCACTCCAAGGACCCCATGGGGGCAATACAGCAAATATATTAAATAAACCTGGAAGTGAAACAAAAACAGACACAGCATTAGAATATGTAACCCTCTGCCCCTGCAACTCCCCTCCTCTCCCATTTTCTCCTCTGGAAATGTTTGTGTCGAAGTGCCAGATCAGAAGCCCAGGAGGGCTTTTGGCCTTCTCTATTTTTTGCCCTGGACAGCTTGAGCCAGAGCTGAGATTTGCATGGGTTTGCATCATTTCTACCCTGGGAACCTCGGGCTGGCCAGGAGGATCCAGGGATAATCAGAGCCCTCATAGTGCTAAGCGTGGGAATACCAATCCCAAGACACCGCCTGGCGCCCATCGTCCCCATCTCCTGAAACACCACGTGATGGAAGCCCTTCGTCCCCCTCTCCCGAGGCGAGGGGAAGTGAATGTGAAGTGAGCGGCCCAGGCTCGTTCAAGGGGCCGCGGCAGAGCTGGAACTGCTGAGTCACAGGCCAGGGCTTTCCCTGTTAGGCAGTGCCGCCTCTCTCTAAATTCAGGCCCCCAGGTCTGCGCCCTGGCTATTCTTTCTTTTCTGCACCTTTCCCTCCCTCATGAGGAACCAGGGCTTATCTCCTTTCCCTTGTACCAGTGAAATTCTTCTGATGATGAGGGAATTACTCCTGTTTACACAAGTCAGAGAGAGAAGAATCAGACCCTGGGCTGACAAAGTCCAGATCTCTTGCCAGAGATTCCTGTTCTCCTTTCCCCTGGTATGACCTTTCTTATGCACACAGGCTTCCCGCTAGGAGAGAGATGAACCAAAAGTGTTGCTCTCTTCAGTCTTTCTGCCAACTCAACTAATGAAATAAAAGGAAAAGGGATCCCCAGAGCAACATTAATTCTCTGCTTGCAATGGAGAATCAATAAAGAAAGGAGAACAAGAGTTGCTCCACAGAAGAGATGAATTACATGGACCCCGAGGGGATTTAGGTGTAGAGAGAAGTCGGGCTCACTCTCTGCCTGTAAGGGAGGCAGAGAAAGGGGAGGGCAGGGCCCGAGAGCGAGCATGGTTGCACCATTATCCTTCCACCTCTGCAAAGAGCCATAAAGCCATAAATAGGATGCACGCATTGGGTCCCAGCCTAGTCCTTCCCCCTCCTTCAACCCCGGTTTTATCACACCCAGGCCCTGCAGTAGCCCCACGCTGAATGAGCGGCGGGTGCTGTGGGAAGTGTCCGAGGTGCTCGGGCAGAAGCATGTCCTGGGAGAGCATTTCTCTCGACTGGAAAAGCAGGTTGCTGTTACCTGCCTTGTGCTCGCTCTCTCCCCTGCCAGCACTTCTATGCTATGAGGATTTCTTTCAGCACTTTCTTATCGTTGACATGCTTGTACTTCTTATGTTTCCTCTTCTGCGCCGGTGGCCGGCGTACTCGCTGCCTCTGTGAGACAGCGGCTGTGGTGAACGACGATGACAAGCCTGCCAAAACAGAGGGGAGAGTGTCTGTACAGCGAGGGGCAGCTGGGTCATGTTGAAATATGTTTCCCCACACACTATCAACAAAGAGGTCTGCAACAGGAGGGCCACAAGGCCTCCTTCTTCTGTTCTTCTGTCCCTCTTCCTCTGTTCTCCACAGTCTCTGCTATCTCCCTTTCCCCACGATGCCCTTCCCCTCACCTCTCACCTTCCCCTCCTTCACTTCCCTTAGTTCCAGCCCCTTGCTGGCAGGCAGACATCCTGGGAAAGGTCCCTCAGCTGGTATAAACCAGCAAAGGCCCATGGGATTCACTGGAGCTAAGCAGATTGAAACCAGCGGAGGGCTCTTTCCTCTCCCCAGTCTCTCTTCTCACGCCTCCCTCTGCTCTACTAATGACAAGATCCTTACGTCTCTGTTCACGTGGCCCTGGCCGGCTGTTCCTGGGGGGCTGACGGGTCACCGCTTCACACCGACACTGCACATGGTCCTCCAAAGGCACAACGACTTTTTTGAATTTTGGCTTCCTCTGGACAAATTCGATCTTGTTCACCTATTTGGAAGAGGGAGGCAAGCAAAAGATGAATACAGCTGTAGCTCCCACTCTGTAAAAATAATCAGTGTCGGTATGCTTCAGTACTGGCTTTCTTCCTAAAGGGTCAGAAGGCAGTTTATAGAGCACGGTTCAAATTCGGGGGTGGTGCGTATGGGAGCTAATTCTGCACACACCAGCAGAGCAGACCTAGACCAGGCAAGTTTGTATGTGACTGGTTGTTTCCCCCGTTTCTAACTATTGCCGCTGCTTAAGCAGGATGACTGGTTGATCACAGACAGAGACATGGGACGTGCAGAACACGCTAGCCTGTTTCTGACAGCTGTGATGGCAGAGACCTGGGTGCCACCAGAATTAATTCCCACAGGATCCTACAGGAAGGGCAAAAGGAGAAAAACTCTGACCCGATGCAAGCAAACACAGCTTCACCAGCTCTGCTGAGGCCTGCCTGAATTTGTCTCAAGCTCTTTAATAACTCTCAGGGCAGAAGCCCTCAGCTCTGTGTTTCACGGGAAAGGCGGTACTCTGGAAATTCCCTCGGACTCTCCACCAGTGCTGACTCAGAGGGAAGACTCACTGTTCCACATCCCACCACAGGGCACGAGCTTTCTAGGGGGTCCTCCCACTCCAGGAGCGGCTGGGCCTGACCCCACTCAGCTTATCTAACAAGACCGCGGTCCCTGAAGTGCTCCGCAAGCTATAAATACTTGCTCTGCCGCGTGTCTGGGATTGAATTCCTCTAAACCCACTGCCCCCAGCAGCATCCCTCAGCCAGCGCTGAAGCAGCCAGGCTGTTTATCTTTCCTTGAAAGCCCACTCCACACGCTTCAGACCACACGCTGCTTGCTAGACAAACACTTCCAGCCAAACAATAGAGAGACCTCTGTCCTCAAAGAAACCATTTCCAGGTCACTTTTTCAGGCTGGCTTTTGACCTCTCACTTGTTTTTTCCACAAAAACAACTCCTGCTCCCCCCCCATTTTTCCCTCATTCCGGCTGGCTTTTCTGAGAAAGGAATTTCCTGATGAAAAGGGCTGTGTGAATACAACCTCTCCCAGCCAACCTCTGCCGCCTGCCTGGGGGAGTCTCTTATGGCTCAGGCGGAGGATTAGTATGGGATGAGTATTATTTTTAAACAAGCTGTCTGGGAGGAAGCTGTGAGGAGATCACTGTTAGCTGTGAGGAGGGCAGGATCAGAGCAAGAGGTTAGCCGTCAGGTGTCTGCTTGCTGCTGGAGCGGGTCAGGAGGTAACCATGGGGCTGAGAAAGAGGAGAAACTGTGTCTTGGGAAGAAGCTGCAGGAGCAGCAGGGGGGATGGAGACTGACACTGCAAGCCCTCCTCTTTTTGCATCAAAACCAGTTCCCGCAATGAAACTGTCCTGTTTCTTCTGCTCTAACACAGCAGACAAGGCCACCTCGAGCCCCAGAAATAGCCACGGCGTGGAGCTGCAGCTGGGGACAGTGCCCTGTAGCTCTGCTATGGTGACAGTCCCCAGCTGCTGGACAGCACCAGCCCTCCCAGCAGCT